CTATATCTTTGTTTGTGACATACCAATTTTTCTTTTTAAAATTCTTTCATAAATTCCTTCAATTTTTGTTTGAGTAATCTTTTTTTTTTCTTTATGTTTCCAATCCCATTTCATGAGGTTTCTTTCTCTTAATATTTTAAATATTTCATTTAAAGAGGAAGTAAGGTACAATATGGTACAATTTTAGCATGCTTACCCACCATGTTTAAAGCTTTAGGTTCACACCCCAGCATTAAAAAAACAAATTTTTAAAACTACTATTCTATTCTCTTCTTGCTTGAATCATTTCTTGGAAGTCAGTTGTAAAATACGAAAATATGAATCTTTGTTACTGTGTATGAAGCATGCAGTTTCTTTGATTTTCTGTAGTGTGGAAATGAAACAGCTACAAATATGACTTGTTTTTGTTTTGTTTTCCTTAAAAGAAGCTGGCTGCATGAAGCAGCTTGATTTCCTCCATGTTTTTGTATCTTCTTTCTACATCTTTTGTCGTGCTTTGTCATCCAGGATGCTGGGGTCCACTTCTAGAGCATCAACCATGGAGGGAAATGGCAGGAGAGCACAGAAGACATCAGAAAGGTGGAGTTCTAGGAAGATGAAGTCCTCAGGGCATCCCAATTTCCTGTGTTTTGTGGTTCTGAATCCAGTGGAAACTATTTTCCATTTTGTATGGAACAAGGGAAGAAGCACTGAGTGAAGAGAACTGGATTAGAAAAGGAGAGAACTGTTCTATCATCCTGCTGTGTCTTCCAAACTCTGGGTAGGGTAAGCATCACACAGACACACACACACAGACACACACACACACACACACACACACACACACACACACACTCTCTACAGATGTAGTTGTAATGATAAATCACTTTTTAATCAGTCATAATTTTGCATTAAGTGCTGAATAAGTGCCCTTTGTTTCATGCTTAAGCTGTCAGTGGTGAACATCAGGAGGGCAGACTAGTGCCTATTATTAAGCAGAGAAAAATCAATACCATTTTTAATTAAAGGAAGGCACAGCCAGGCTTGGAGACAAGCAAATCTCCTTGTCAGAGCATCTCCCATTTAAACTCAGAAGTTCAGCTCAGAAGTTGAGACATAGCCAAATATAGAGACAGAGAGACCCAAGAGCTTTGTGGGTGGGAGTGGTCTAGGCAGACAAGCAAAGGAAGCACAGGCCAGGTGTACTTGGTCTGTCCTACAGAGAACCTTAAGGCATGATCAAAGGTAGATCCTGGCTGCAGCACAGAACAGGAACAAATGTGTGGCCTTCTGTGGTGATGTAGGTGTGGGAAGCCCGGTCTTTGCCAAGCTACTTTCAGAGCCAGTCAGCTTGCTGGGTTCCTACCTGAGCTGGGGAGTGTGGATTAAGAAAGGCTAGCTAGACCCTTGACAAATAGCATTTTTGATGGCTGACTTCTTGTATTAGGTGGTTCCCCTGGGTCCTTGTAATTCCAGCCTGATTTTTCTGCCCTCAATTTCCATTTTATTACAGGAGTTTAAAGCTTCTTTAGCATCTTCAAATGAAGCAAATTCTATAAATGCATACCCTTTAGATTTGCCCTGTTGGTTCTGGGGCACTTTGATAAAAGATGCTTTCTCAAACACTTCCTGAAGAGTTTCTTCTGTTACACTGTAGGAAAGGTTACTTAAAACCAAAATTTTGATTCACCTGTCTGAGAATACCACTGAAGAGACCTTAAAAGAATCATTTGAGGGCTCTCTTCATGCAAGAATAGTCACTGATCAGGAAACTGGGTCCTCTAAAGGGTTTGGTTTTGTAGACTTCAATAGTGAGGAAGATGCCAAAGCTGCCAAGGAGGCCATGGAAGATGGGGAAATGGATGGGAACAAAGTTACTCTGGACTGGGCCAAACCAATGGGTGAAGGTGGCTTTGGTGGCCGAGGTGGAGGAAAAGGAGGTTTCGAGAGCCGAGGTGGTGGCAGAGGAGGAAGAGGAGGCAATTTGGCGGCAGAGGCCGGTGAGGCTTTGGAGGTCGAGGCTTCCGAGGAGGCGGGGAGGAGGATGTGGAGACTTCAAGCCACAAGGAAAGAAAACGAAGTTTGAATAATTCCTTCCCAATCTTTCCCACTTCATATTAAAGAAAGGACTCTGGGGTTTTACACTGTTACCTGTTATGCGACAGAGCCTTTTAAGGACATTTCAAGAGATTTTTTCCTATAAATAGTTTTTTGAGTTTTTTGGGGTTTTTATTTTTTTGTTTTGTTTTTTTGTTTTTGTTTTGTTTTTTTGTTTTTTTGCATTGGGTGTAAAAGAATGTTTATCATGTTTTTTGCTTAAGTGACTTTAGGACAAATTAATTAAAAGTCCTAAACTCTGACCAAAAAAAAAAAAAAAGAAAGAAAAGAAAAAAAAGAAAGGCTAGCTAGCCAGGCATCAGTGGCACATGCCTTTAATCCCAGCACTTGGGAGGCATAGGCAGGCAGATCAAGACTAGCAGGGTCTACAGAGCTCCAAAGCAATACAGAGAAACCCTGTCTTGAAAACAAAAGAACAAAAAAACCAAAACAAAAAAACAAAAACAACCCCCTCAACTCCCCCCCCTCAAAAAACTCAAAAACCAAAAAGGGTTGAAGGAGGAGTATCAAACAGGCATTCTTGTCACTTTTATTATGGTTTAGAATTCAGAACAAGACATGCTTTTATGACTCCTTTCAGATTATTATTTTTATACTTTGGGTTTTTCTTATGTTGTTCAGCAAGACAGAACTCATGGTGTTTTTACAACCCAATGACAGAAATGCCACCCATCACCTCATATTCAAAGGAAGGGGAAGAGCAAATCATGAAATTGTTGAGTGCTAATCTGGAAAGCTACCTATCTGGAATTCAACACTCATAACAGGAGCTAGCTTATTTGGAGGAAGATAATTTTTAAATTGATTTGGAGAGTTATAAGGCAAAATATTTAATGAAATCCCTCACCATGAAATCAAAATGGGGAGAAAGAAAGCACTTTCACCAGTGAAGGTTCATGGCACTAACATTAGTAAAAGAGCAAGGATATTTAAAATAAAGTCCCTCAGGGGCATCTCCCCTGATTTTTAGTGTTATTATATGCATGCCCAACTTTTAGTTGTTACCATTTCTTTCATATACTGAAAAATACTAAATCTGGTTTGATGTTTTCATAGTCCGTGTTGGTATCAGTTAAGTTCTCTCTGTTCTCAGTAACTTTAAAAAAAAATCCATTTTAAAATGGCATAAAGATACAACAGGAGTCGTAGTTCAGAGGACCAAATGAGACTGCCCGGCCCTCGCCTTTTTTTTTTTTTTTTGATTTTTCTGAGACAGGGTTTCTCTGTAGCTTTGGAACCTATCCTGGAACTAGCTCTGTAGATCTGCCTGCTTCTGCCTCCGGAGTGATGGGTAAAGGCCTCCACCAACGCCCGGCTAGACTGCCATATTTTAAATTAACACCTTTATATAGAGCGGAAGCAAGATGTACAAAGTCTAATTAGTAAATAAACCAATAGTGAGCTTTTCTGTTACAGTTATTAAAACTCTTAAAATTTAGCTCACGCCTTTAATCCCAGCACTTGGGAGGCAGATGCAGGAGGATCTCTGTGACCTCGAGACCAGCCTGGTCTACAGAGTTAGTTCCAGGACAGGCTCCAAAGCAATACAGAGAAACCCTGTCTTGAAAAACCAAAACCAAACACTTAAAATGTAGATGCCTGCTTTTTTTGTTTTGTTTTGTTTTGGTACATGTACTGCTTGGATACAGAAGCCCATGAACGCCAGTAGGAAGCATTGGATCCCCCTGGAACTAAAGTTAACAGCTACTGTGAGCCACGAGATGTGCGTGCTGGAAAACTAAGCAGCCCCTTCTTGTGCAAGAGATGTAAGTTCCAGTTCTTAAATAGCATTACATAAAAACCAGCACACGTTTCAAACAAAACCCTTCCTTAGGCCCGGGAAGGAAATGCACATCAGTAACCACTATCTGGCCCAAGTAAGTTGGGAGTTACTACACAACACGCAAGCCCCCTCTCCTCGCCGCATACCAAGCAGGATGGCGGGGGTGAGGGGATTCTCCTTTATGCACCGCAGGCTGCAAGAGCAGGGCCCACACCGCTGGCTGTCGCTGGTGACCCGGGCAGCCGGCTTCAGTGTCACTTAGTCTGTCGCCCCGGCCTGCAGGCTGGCAGGTCCGAGCTCCAGCATTCTGTCCTTACCTGGTCCTCAGGGAAGCACATTCTTTACCCGCCCCCTTACCTCCCCCAACCCCACCCGGGCCGCCAACCGCCCTTTCCCCTGCCCCACCCCCACTCCGAACCCTGTGTGCGAGCAACCGTTTCCCGCCGCACAAAATGGCCACTGGGCGGGACACCCGTGGCCACGTGACCCGCAGCCGGCTCCTCTCCACGTGCGGCCTCCCGCTCCTCCGGACTCCAGCGAGGCGGCCCTCGGCGGGAGCGAGACCTAGTTAGGCCCGACAAGTCCCGCGGCCTGGCGGCGCACTGCAGGGAAAGGCAGGGCGCAAAACAAAAACCAAACAAGCAAAAACCCCAAACCACAAAAGCCACTGCGAGCAACCGGAGGCCAAGCGGCCTACAGCGGCACTGGGAGCCTGACTGCCAGAGGGGCGGAGTTCTCGCGAGATCTTGAGACCGTCCAAGACCAGGGCCTCCGGCGGAGCACGGGGAGAACCGGGGTTGAGGCGAAGACGGGACGGACGTCCGGGCTCTGGGCCGCGCGCGGGCCGCCTCGCCCACCTGAGTCCTCGGTGAACTCAGGCGTGTGCCGCTCTGTAAGCCTGCGACGGCGGCGGGGCCCATGACCATGTGATCGGCCATGGCGCGCCAGGCCTGACCCGGAAGTCTCGCGAGATCAGGACTCGGCCTGCGGCGGCGGTGGCGGCGGCGGCGGGGCGGAGCCATAGCGCTAGGGTTAAGAGGCCCGCGCGGTGCCGGCGGCGTAGCCATCTTCGGGGACGACGAGCTCGCCCTCCTCCCCGCGAGGACCCGCGTAGCTCGGCAGAGGCAGGCGCCGGCTGTCGTGTCCGCAGTCGTCCGGGATGAGTCATGTGGCGGAGGAAGACGAGCTCGGGCTGGACCAGCAGTTGGCCGGGCTGGACCTGAACTCTGCCCCGGACAGCCAGGGCGGCGGCGGCGGCGGCGGGGGCGGCGGAGGCGGCGGCGGCGCAGGGGCAGGAGCAGGCGCCACCAGCAAAGGGCGCTACATCCCTCCTCACCTCCGCAACCGGGAGGCGGCGGCGGCGGCGGCGGCGAAGGCGGCCTACGACAAAGACGGCGGCGCACGGTGGAGTAAAGACAAGGACGCCTACAGCAGCTTCGGCTCCCGGAGCGACGCGAGGGCCAAGTCCGGCTTCTTCGGCGGCGACCGTGGGGCCGGCTCGAGGGGGAGGTTTGACTCGGACCGGGGGCCCCGGAGTGAGTACGAGGGCCCCGGCGGCCGCGGCGGGAGGAGCGGCTTCGGCAAGTTTGAACGCGGTGGCGGCAGCAGCCGCTGGTGCGACAAGGCGGACGAGGACGACTGGTCCAAGCCGCTGCCGCCCAGCGAGCGCCTGGAGCAGGAGCTCTTCTCCGGAGGCAACACGGGCATCAACTTTGAGAAGTACGACGACATCCCGGTCGAGGCGACGGGGAACAACTGCCCCCCGCACATCGAAAGCTTCAGCGACGTGGAGATGGGGGAGATCATCATGGGCAACATCGAGCTCACCCGCTACACGCGCCCGACCCCCGTGCAGAAGCACGCCATCCCCATCATCAAGGAGAAGAGGGACTTGATGGCTTGTGCCCAGACGGGGTCCGGGAAGACGGCGGCGTTTCTCTTGCCCATCCTGAGTCAGATCTACACGGACGGACCCGGCGAGGCCTTGCGGGCCGTGAAGGAGAACGGCAAGTACGGGCGTCGCAAACAGTACCCCATCTCCCTGGTCCTGGCTCCGACCCGAGAACTGGCGGTGCAGATCTACGAGGAGGCCAGGAAGTTCTCGTACCGCTCTCGGGTTCGCCCCTGTGTGGTGTACGGTGGCGCCGATATCGGTCAGCAGATTCGAGATCTGGAACGTGGATGCCACTTGTTAGTTGCCACCCCGGGACGGCTGGTGGACATGATGGAGCGAGGGAAGATCGGACTAGACTTCTGCAAATACTTGGTGTTAGACGAAGCGGACCGGATGTTGGACATGGGCTTTGAGCCTCAGATACGGAGAATAGTTGAGCAAGACACCATGCCTCCAAAAGGTGTCCGCCACACTATGATGTTTAGTGCCACTTTTCCCAAGGAAATACAGATGCTGGCTCGAGATTTCTTGGATGAATATATCTTTCTGGCCGTAGGACGAGTCGGGTCTACTTCGGAGAACATCACACAGAAAGTCGTGTGGGTAGAAGAAGCAGACAAGCGGTCGTTTCTGCTCGACCTCCTGAATGCAACCGGAAAGGATTCCCTGATACTGGTGTTTGTGGAGACCAAAAAGGGTGCCGATTCTCTGGAGGATTTCTTATACCATGAAGGATATGCTTGTACCAGTATCCATGGAGATCGATCACAGCGAGACAGGGAAGAGGCCCTTCACCAATTCCGATCAGGAAAAAGTCCAATTCTCGTGGCCACAGCAGTAGCGGCAAGAGGACTGGATATTTCCAATGTGAAACATGTCATCAATTTTGACTTGCCTAGTGACATCGAAGAATATGTGCACCGAATTGGTCGTACAGGTCGTGTTGGAAACCTTGGCCTTGCCACCTCGTTCTTCAATGAGAGGAACATAAATATTACCAAAGATTTATTGGATCTTCTCGTTGAAGCTAAGCAAGAAGTGCCATCTTGGCTAGAAAACATGGCTTTTGAACACCATTACAAGGGTGGCAGTCGTGGACGGTCCAAGAGCAGATTTAGCGGAGGGTTTGGTGCCAGAGACTATCGACAAAGTAGCGGTGCCAGCAGTTCCAGCTTCAGCAGCAGCCGGGCTAGCAACAGTCGCAGTGGCGGAGGCAGCCACGGCAGCAGCAGAGGGTTTGGTGGAGGTAGCTATGGAGGCTTTTACAACAGTGATGGATATGGAGGAAATTATAGCTCCCAGGGGGTAGACTGGTGGGGTAACTGAGCCTGTTTTGCCATAGGTCACTCTACCAAAAAATTATGGCAACCACGTGTAACTTAGTCAGACTATACCTTGTATAGTTTCAAGAACTCACAGCACATTGCCTCCTGTGATTCCCCATTGACTATTTTTTAAGGGAGCTGAAAGTCACAAGAAAAGATGAAAGGAGCAACCCAGAAGCCCCATTCACAAGGTGGTTTGAAGACTTGATTGTTGTAGTTTGGCTTAACTCTCCTCTTACCCCATCCTACTCTGCATTTATAACTTCAGGACTAAGGATCATTTGTTTGTTAATGTACTGTACCTTTAACTTTAGACAACTTTTATTCTGATGTCCCGTTGGCTCAGTAATGCTTAAGATATCAAATTGTTTTTAACAAAATAAATTTTCTGAACTTGGGCTAAGAAAACAAATAAAAGGGACTGTCCTTGGTAGCACTCATTATTAGGTACTCTCAGGAAGGCAGGGATGTGGCCCAGGATGAAGGATGGCATTTGGAAATGTATAAATTACAGCCCAGGGGTTCAAGAGCAGTTATGGTTTGAAATATCTGTGTATGTGTACAGTTCTAGTTGCAACTTAGCATGACCAGGAAATGGAATACCGTTTTCCTTTTCCTGTGTACTTTAAATAATCCTTTGTTGGTGGTCATCCTCAGTGACATGTCATGGCAGCTTCTGAGACACCAGTCAGCATTCATGCTTAGTACCACGATGTAGAGGATATGAATGGCTCTGAATAAATGGTAGCAGGAAACCATAGAAGAAATGGTCTATATTCTTTAATTCAAGCAGGTTTTGGAAAGACATGGGTATTGAGTAACTAGAGAATCACTTTCTCTTGTGGGAGGTGTGAAGATAGATAAGAATGAGATATTTGACACTAAAGAACACAGAGAAATAGTTCCTCAATTTGAGCAGGCATTGATGGAATTCCCAACTGTAATGATGGAATTGCAAACAAATGCATGCCTGTTTTCATTTCTACCCATTTGTTGTAGAACTTCATCAATAAACCACTACATCTCACATGGGATCATGTTTATGTTTTTGTTTTGAGACAGGCCCTCATGTTACCCAGGGTAGTCTCTAACTAACTCATCATGTATCTGAGACTGGCCTTGATCTTGTTCTTCCTATCTTCCAAGTACACTTACCACCATACTTGGTGGGATCATGAATTTTTAAATCACACTGTTCATGTAGACAGTTCTCCCAATATTTTCTCATGTCCTGCTCTATGTCCTAGGACCTCCTACCTATCAAATTACTGTCTCTGAAATAATTAGTTAGATAATAACTGGTTGGATATTATGGAAAAGTTATCTACCATCATTGGTCAGTGAGTGGGTTACATAGTCTACATAAGGCCAGAAACACATGTAGCTGAATATATGTGTGTGTATATGCATGTGTATATATAGCTTAAGTTTGGATAGTTAGATATGCTGTGAATTGTTTCATAAAAGTTTTTCCTATGAGAAAAAAGTCACAGCCAATCCATTATTTACACATGATCCAACCCAAGAATTCTGAATAGTATTGACTCTCAAATTATACTTGCTCATAAAATGATCCAAAATCCTTAGTGGCCCCCATCAATATTAACCATAGTTGTCCCTATAGACCCTCCAGTCTTCAAACCCTCATACCCCCTTACTTTACTTCCCTTATCTTTATGCTGTAATTTCCCTGATTTCCACTTACGACCTTATTCATATACTACTATTACAGCAAATCCTGGTCAGAGTTCATTTTTCTCCATGAAGCTTGCTTTAAAAGTTGCAGTCCCAATAGTAATGAGAAATAATTATACTTGTCCATTTATGCCTGTTATCTTGAGCTCAGTCATGTAAATGTGGAAATTCTTGCTTTGTTTTAAATTTTCATGTTTTTTGTGTTTTTAAATACTATGTTCCCTTCCCAGTTGTCCTTTGCAACTGCACAAAGTTTATGGTCAGTCTGTGTGGGTTGAATGGAATTCCAGAGAGGCTTTATTCCCCTGATGCGCCTTCAACTACACTTATCTTGGTGGAGTGTTGTAAAACACTTGCACATAAAGTGTGTGTGTAATGAAGTGAGTGAGAGATGGGAAGGTGTCCCCAGGAGAATTGTAGGAGTTGTATACCGCTGATTTGGTGTGTGTTGAGAAGTAATCAAAAATACAGCCTAATTCTACATCAAAAAGAGCAGTTATTCTCCATATACTAGTTATTTCAGATGGCGTCAGTAATGATTTCCTAATATTTTAAATCTTTAAGCTCAGTTTGACAGTACCCTGGAAGCTTGAAGAGCACAGGAAAAGAGATACAAAGACCTCTGAATATTTTCTGATTTAACTGGAAGTTTTTTGAGAATTGAGTCAGGTCACCTAGGACAATTTGTATTCTATTGAAAAAACAAATAAGACAATAGATGATTGTCCCATTTACCCAAGTAGCCCTTGCCAGAGTTAATGAGCCACTGGTCATACTTTACTGTTGGCTAATGTCCACACTTTACTAAGATTCCCTGGTTTTTCCTAGTGTCCTATTCCAGGCTCTGTCTAGGACACTATATTACTTTAATTCAGTAAGTCACCTGAGGTTCCTCCTGGCTGTGACAGTTTCTCAGACATTCCTCATTTCTTCTGACCTTGACAGATATTTTTTTTTCTTTGCTGGTCAGGTACTTTGCCCTACAATTAAAAATAGTTGGATTTTTCTTTTTTCTCATGATTAGTCTGGGGCTGTGGGTCTTTAGGAGCATGATCACAGGTAAAATGTCATTTTTGTCATGCCAAGGACAGATACTGAAATGTGAAGTATCAGAATTGATAAGGACCTAGATGAACTGGTTGAGGTGGTCAGACCTGGCAGATTTTCCCACTCTGCTGTGTGCCTGATTGTTTTTTCCCCCTCCACAATTTTTGTTCTTGCTTTTGGAGACAGGGTTTCACCAGACTGGTCTTGAACTCTCAACCCTTCTCCCTTTAGGCGGAGAACTAAGAGTACAGGTATGTTTCACATCTGCTTTTTTTTCATTCTGCACTTCTAGAAGGCAGTCACCATGTACCACCCATGTTCAAGGCATGGAGAGTGTAGGCTTCACCTTCCCTTCCTTGGCCTTTTCATTTTGTATACATGTGGAACAATGGATGTGTAGAGATTCCATTTATATTCTGAGTTACAACTTTGTTGCTTAAAGGTTGTAAGAAGTCTATGAAATATGAAAGGATGTTTTAATGTTGAGATAGATTATTTTTAAATGTGCAATTATTAATTACTCCCCTGTGGTCAACTTCATGTCTCTTACTTGAGTTCCTTCCATTCACAGAATCTCTTTACCACCATGTTTCCCCTTCTCTACCAAGATAATTGTTGCAGATTCAAGGGCCTGCTGGGACCGAAGCCTATCTGGGGTTCCCTGAACCCATTCCCTTACAAATCAGTCCATACAAACCGACCATGAACTTTGTGCAGTTGCTAAGGGCAATGAAAAAGCAAACATAACATTAAAAGCTTAAAGACTATGAAGGCAAAGCTTTGGTCACTGGGAGCTATTTTAGCTGGTTCCTGTGTCTCTCATACCCATGACATGTGGCTTCTGGGAAGTCAACAAGTACTTACTTATTTTCTGGTGTGTTACTATTTCAGTTCCAGCTGTATATCAGCTTCTTGTTGCAGTGACGGATACCCAAGAGAAAGGGTTTAAAAAGCGGGGAGGCTTATTTTGGCTCACAATTTGATTTCACTATGCAGTTATTCAACCTTTTTGCCTTGAGTCTGTGGCAGTATATCATATTATGTCAGGGGCAGGAGCCTATGGATGGAAGGCCTGTTCACCCCAGGATTCAATATTCCCTCTGCTCTAGTTTCATTTCTGTTGCTTCTGTGAAAAATCTTAACCAAAAGCAACTTAGTAAAGAAAGGGGTTTACAATTTGTCCATAATTGTAGGGAAATCAAGGCAGGACTTCAGCTAGCCACATCACATTTATAATCAAGAACAGAATAAATGGAGGCTCACTTGCTTGTTATCAAGTCTATTTCTCTAGTGACAGACAATTGAGTTCGGGATTCCTTGCCAGAGAATGTGTTACTCATGGTGGGCTCAATACTTTAATATCAATTAACATATGACATTCCCACAGCAGACATGCCCCGGACCAACTCATTGTAGACAACCCCTCATTGAGACCATCTTCCTGGGCGATTCTAGGTTCTGTCAAGATGCCAGTGCTAATCATCATACCCTACTGGGCCCTACCACCTCCCAGCAGTGCAACCGCCTAAGAACCAACCCATCAACACACTCAAGAGCCAAACTATAGCACCTAGTAACTCACTCAGCTATTGCTAGATGGAGTATGTGTTAAGTTCTATCACAGCTCATTTTGCTGTCATGCTCTTGTATAGTTTAATTCTAAGATTCCATCGCCTGTGATACAGTTTTTCCCTTGTAAAAATATAATATCACTAATTGGATGTTTACATTTTCCCTTCTAAATGTTTATGTTTCTCTCTATGTAAGGTATTGACATGAAATCTAGAATTCTTCAATCAAGTGCCTGTGCATGTGTAGATAATTCTGGGGGCTTTGTGAAATGTAAACATGGTAAGAAGCAAGGCTCTAAAAGTTAAGTGAGTCTCCATTGGTGTGTCCTATTGTTTATTTTCCTCCCTCCTAGTCCTGTCTACACATCTGACATAAAGCATTGACCTGGGAGCTGAAAAGAAAAAAGGCCTAACATGAATGTGGACAGATACCATAAATTTATGTCTTGGGTGAATACCATGTGTTCTTGCCTCCTCCTTCAGGACTCCCTTGGTCCCTAGTCTGGCTTGAAAAAATGAACTTCCAGGGAGTTTGTGCCTTTTGATCGGCCCACTGATCTAATGTCCATCAGCAGAAGCGCTGTGAGATGCAGAATAAAATAATGAAGTTAATTTGATTTGCACTCCGTGTCCACCCTTAAGATCTGCATGTCTTTGCTGTATTAGATTTCTAATGAGATTCCATTGCCTGCTCTCCTGCTCTCTGTAGGGAGACGGGAGCATCGGGCTGTGGGAGAGGTTCATTTCAGGAGAGTCCTCCCCACTTACATCCCATCCTTAATGGGTGTAGACCTGCCTGCTCTTGAGTCATAGGGTGATCTCATTTCCCTTCCTGGACTCTGATGGACAAGAAAGTGTGTGGGAAAGGCAGGTGGGGAGCAGTAGCTTCTACTGCAGGAATTACTTCCAGGGGAAGGAAAGTAGGTTCAGAGGTCAATTCTGGGCTAAGAGGTTACAGCACACCAAGCAGATTTCCCACGCTAGCTAAGCATTGTTCCTGAGACAATGGCACAGTAGTGACTATGTGCCTGGTTCTTAAGTTGCTACCAAAATGTCACACAGGGCTCAGAGAGCTTCTCTAAATCCTTAGATGCTAAGTACCGTCTGAGCAGGACAGAAGTTTAAAGTTGATTTTGGAGAAGCCTACCTGCCTGTCCTTATTCGCAGTTCCTTGACTCCGACTCCTTCCACCACCACCCATCATGAGCCCTTTAAGCCTTTCCCCAAATGTCCAGCCCTCTGTGTCTTGCCCTGGTGTGTGTCTGTAAGGATTTTTGCCACACCACTGGCTTTATTTCTTCCCTATTTTCCACACTGAAATGTTTAACTTAGGACTTCCAAATGATGTCATTCACTGGGAGTCCATTGCAAAATGATTGCTTCCACTTCAAAAGCTGCTTTTGCCAGGTGTGGTGGTGCACACCTTTAATCCCGACACTTGGGAGACAGAGGCCATCAAATCTGAGTTCAAGACCCTCCAGTGAGTTCCAGGAAAGCCAGGGCTATAAGGCTCTGTTAGAGAAACCCTGTCTCACAAAAGCAAACAACAAATACAAACAAACAAAAAGCTGCATTGGAGAAGTTGTCAAGCATCTTTGCTGAAGGTCTGTGTGGATGGGGGTGCAAGTGCCAGTAATTCACTGTTGGTTCACAAGGTTACTCCCACAATTAAAAGGGGTTTGGGACGATTTTAGATGAAGAAGCAGAGCATGGCTTCAGAG